TTTTATTTGTATGTAATTGATTTCTCGGTGTTTGCTTGGGGTTTTTTTATCGGTTTTTTCGGTCGTTAATTTTATTCGTGGTGGGGGTTTATATTTTGGGTTTTTTTTTTTTTTTTTTTTTTTTTTTTTTCTCATACGACATCTCAAAATTCAATGTGACAATGATAGTTGTAATTGATAATCGGTATTCTCGATTCGTTTACCGGCCATAGTTAGAAGCAAAGCATTTTGATAGTTAAAAACACGTAAATTCCAAGTATTCTTAAGTAAAAAGTAGCTTAGTAATCGTATCGATAAGAAAAGGGGAAAATAAAGTAAAACAGGTACCAATTCTTAGTTGGAAGAGTTTAATTAACAGCACGTGAACACGGGTCAGTGCCTTTCGCGATCAGACGCGTTATCAGACTCCAAACTCCCCCAAATTCGGTATGTAGTAGTGAATTTCAAATATATACACATTACAATTCTATTCAAGAATCCAACTGCTATTTTGCGCCTATACATGTCCGCACCCTCTGATATTCACCTTGCAAAAGCGACAAACCCGTACAACGATGCCTCCTCGCCAGTCATCTCGGCTGAAGAAAGCCGTTGCGGTTACCGCCGCCAGCGTTAGCACTCCTACTAACGGAACATCAAAAACCAAGGTTGCAAATCTCAAGGTAGAGCTTAAATCCACCGAGGAAGAATCCATCAAGGACATTAAAGACGACGCTCCTATTGATACCGAGGATCGCAAGTCTTCCAAGAAGCGAAAGGCAGAGAAGATCGAAGACGAGGAAGACGAGGAAGACGACCAGGACGAGAAGGACAAGAAGGACGGCCCTGTTGCCGAGAAACCTAAAGCTAAAGCTGCAAAGAAGCAGAAGACTACCAAGGAAAAGACCGAGGACCTCATGGCGCTCGCCACGCGCACCGTAGTCAGCACTCTTAAGAAGTCTATGTACATTGGTGCGCACGTCAGTAGCGCAGGAGGTTTGTGATAACTGAAGCTCCTTTAACACTTTACCTCAAACTCACATCTATTTTTTTGTTTTTTCTCCAGGTGTGCATAACTCTATCAACAACGCCGTCCACATCGGCGCAAACGCCTTTGCCCTATTCCTAAAGTCTCAACGCAAATGGACCAACCCACCCATAACCAAAGAAGCTGTCGACGGGTTCCAATCCCTGTCGAAGCAGCACAAGTTCGAAGTCCACAAGCACTGCCTCCCGCACGGCTCCTATCTCGTAAATCTCGCTCAGGCGGAGAAGGAGAAGGCCGACCAGGCGTATAACTCGTTTCTCGACGATTTGAAGCGCTGCGAGTCGCTCGGCATCACGCTGTACAACTTCCACCCGGGAAATACCGGTGGCGATTCCAGACCGGCTGCTATTGCTAGGATAGCGGCACAGCTGAACAAAGCGCACAAAGCCACTAGTACCGTCATAACGATATTAGAGAATATGGCGGGGCAGGGCAATGTCATCGGCAATACGTTTGAAGACTTGCGGGATATCATCGAGCTCGTGGAGGACAAGAGCCGCGTCGGCGTCTGTATAGACACAGTGAGCATTTCCCAAACCATCCCCTATTTCAGTTACACTCTAGGACATGCATGCAAGCTCTTACTTTGATAAACACGCGGAATATTAACCCCAGACGCTACAGTGCCACGCATTCGCCGCAGGCTACGACCTCCGCTCCCCGGAGGCCTTCGAGGAGACGGTATCGAAGTTCAACAGCATCGTGGGCGCGAAGTACCTGAAGGCGTTCCACATGAACGACTCGAAAGCGCCGTTCGACTCGCGGCGGGACCTGCACGCCAACATCGGCACGGGGTTCCTGGGGCTGCGGGCGTTCCACAACATCATGAACCACGCCGGGTTCCAGGACATGCCGATGGTCCTCGAGACGCCCATCGACCGCAAACGGCCCGACGGTAAGACCGTCGAGGACAAGCAGGTCTGGGCCGACGAGATCAAGCTGCTCGAGAGCCTCATCGGCATGGACCCCGACGGCGACGAGTTCAGAGCCCTCGACGAGCGCCTCCAGGCCCAGGGCGCCGCCGAGCGCAATAGGGTCCAGGATCAGGTCGATCGCAAGAGCGCCAAGGACGGGAAGAAAGCGGCTCCTAAGAAACGGGGTAAGAAGAAAGCTGCGGCTTCGGACGAGGATTCCGAATAAAATTATTCATCCACGAAGGAACTGTCACAATTATTATTATAATTGGGTTTAGGGTTCAGGGTCTAGGCACTCCTTGTTAGAAAGGGACGGGTCACTGGTTAAAGGACATTATTGTATTGTATTGTATTGACGTGGAAAAAACTCGCAAGGCGTATTGGGTATGTAAAGCATGTAAAGCAACAACTAATTCTACGCGCCCAACTGGATGGATACCTTAGGTACCTGGTATTGAGAGTTGAGGCAAGTCGAGTATCAGTTCAATAAAGAACCAAACCAAACCGAGTGTGTCTGTTTATTGAATCCGTCCCACCGTTCCATATCGTAGGTATAAAAAATAATTGACAAGCACCCCCGACCTTAACCAGATAAGAGGATGTCGTTAAGTGGGAGTGTCATAACAACCACCTCTTTCTCCCTCCCCCCCATCCGCCCGCGCACCCAGTAACGCCTGGTGATGCAAAGTCGTGTTCGTGTGTGTGTGTGTGTGTGTGTGTGTGTGTGTGTGTAAGCGTTATGAATACTTCTTCTCGTCGTAACATATCCATATTCATCTTCATCTTCCTCTTCATCTTTCGTCCCTTCTGACGATACGTAAAAAGAAAGAAAGAAAGGGTTAAACCAAAAAAAAAGTAATAACACCCAAGCTCAAGCTCAAGCTCGAGCAGAAAAGGGAGAGAAAGATTGACCCTCGACCTTAAGTTAAAATCAATGTCTCCTCGCCCTCGCCATAGCCTCCACCCTAGCCATCAACCCCCTCAGCCCGACGCCCTTCTCGCAGTTGGCCTCGAGCCACCTCTCCATGCGCTCGCGCACCCGCCGCAGGCCCCGCGTCACCGGCATCCGGCACCCGTCCTCGGCCGCGACGTGCGCCGCCGGGTTGAGCAGCAGGTCGAAGCAGTCCTGCCAGATGTCCGTCTGCCAGTAGCGCTTGAGCGGCTCGCGGACCTTGTACCGTCGCGCGCTGGCCGTGCCTAGGCTGCGCTCGCCCGGGAACGCCAACTCCCCCCCACGTAGCCCCGTGGTGGTGGTAGTGGTGGAGGTCGTCGTCGTCGTCTCGATGTACTTCCCGAAGAGCAGCGTGTGGATCGTCCCCGCGAGCCCGTGGTAGTCCAGCTGCCACGTCCAGGGCCGGCCCTCGCGCACCTCGACGCAGTCGTGCTGGTCCGCGCGCCAGTCCGCCACAAACTTCACGTCGGGGTCGAACGCGCGCATGTCGATGCCGCGCCCAAAGTCGATCAGCACGACGCCGCGGGCGTCCCAACCGGCCGACCCGTCCGGGCGCCAGGGACCCGATGGGGGCGCCGCCGCCGCCGCGTCGAGCCGCAGCAAGCAATTATCCGGCTTGAGGTCCCCGTGCATGATCTGCTTGGAGTGCAGGGCCTCGACGGTGCGGAGCAGCTCGATGCTGAAGAACATGGAGAGGACCTCGTCCATGGGCGCCTTGGTCGTCTCGCTGAAGAAGTTGACCACGTCGAGGAGCGTGCCGTACTGGTGGAACGGCAGGAACAGGAACCCCTCGTCCTGGTACAGGTGCATCTCGTGCGCGGCCAAGATGGACGCCGTCGCGCGGTGGTGCGGGCCCAGGCGCGCGGCCGCGAGCCGCATCATGTGGAACTCCCACGCGGTAGGCGGGTGCTCCATCTTCAGCGCCTCCAGAGGAGCGCGGCGCGCTGTCGCAAAGGCGCCTTTACCCATGGCGACGGGAGCGTTTTCGTCATTTTCATCCGACTCTGGTGACGAGTTCTCGACGAGGTAGACAGGTGCGTAAGCACCCGCGCCCAACTCCCGCTTTATGGTGTACTCGGTCATGATCTCGGGGAACTCGAGGACAACGGGTGCGTGAACGGTATTAGTTTTCTCGCTGTCCTTCTTGCCTCCCGACTTTGCTATGGCTTTGACGAACTTGCGGATCTCGGCCCCGAGATCGCATCGCTCGGTCCGGTGATCATAAAATCCGGAATACGAGCTTAGCGATGGGCGCATACGTGCAAGAATCTCCTCTCGAATAGCTGTATCGATCGGATTGCACATAGCTTCCTTAATAATAGGCCCCTTCTGCACCTCCTTTGGCTTCCCGAAGCTAGGGGGAGTTGAAGTCGCTGTTGTCTTGAGCTTCTTCAGGAGAGGCTGTGCGAACTTAGGTGGAGATCGATGCCCACTAAGGACTTCCTGCAGAGGACTACTCGGCGGCTCGAAGTCTTCATCATCTCCATCTCCATCCTCATCCTCCTCAGCCGGGTCTATATGACCACTAGGAGTCTTTGTACCAGTATAACGCGGCTTTGCACCTGTGATTAGACCAAGGGAAGATTCGGTGCGTTCTGTGATGGGTGTCATAAACGGGAGGCGGTTGTTAGCCATCTCGGCCGGGTCCCTATACGGCCGTGTAGGTGCCTCGTAATCTTCAGGTGGTATTGGAATAAATCTAGTCCTTGGGGGAGAGTCTTCTGGTGTGATATTATCGTCCTCTTGGTGGTCATTAGTGTCGATAAGGTCTGACACCTCTGGATCACTTTGCTCTCCTTCGTCTTCCTCTCCCTCCTCGTCTTCGTTATCGCTCCTGCCGTCTAATTTTGGGACGTGCTTTTGCACCGTGAATTCAGACCATTCGCTTGCCACGCTCTTATCATCAGATATTTCGTCGTCGTCGTCACCAACTTCACTAGTGGAAATTCGTCTCGTAGTGTTAACGCTCTCTCCGCCACTGGTATAATCGTCGTCCGTCGTGTACTCTTCTTCTTCGCTCTCTTCACCTTCTTCCTGTTGAGCAGGCTTGAGGGGAGCATTAAAGATGTCATAAATATCGTCAGTTGCAGCCTTTGTGTGCATCGTCATAGTTGGTTCCGAATTTGCACCCAATTTCTTTTTCTTGATTTTTGGACCTGAAGGCGAGTCCAGTTTTGCTTTGACTGTGAAAGAAGTCAGCAATCTTGTTATTTGACAGGTATGGTAAAGAAGGATTGGCAGGTATGTGCAGGGTATACTGACTGATTTGGGTCTCATTATACTCCATAACTTTCTTCTTTTTGCTTTTTGCAGGGCGTGAGCTTTCCTTGATGGCGCCATTTTCATCGAGCTCTACTACATCGTGGTGCACTACCAATTTCTCGGCAACCTGGTTACTGAGCATATCTAGTTCTGCGCCTTGCCCAAGGATCGGTTCTTGCTGTTCCTCTGCGAAGCTGTCGTCCTCCCAAGACACATCAAGCCAACCTTGATTCGCAGCCCAGAGTTCTTCAAAAGAGAGTTCGGTGCCGGGTTCCTCCGGAGTTGGATAAATAGCGTCTAGGTTAACAAAGACACGTTCTCTTTTCCCGCTTTGAGGGTTCACGATTATTTGGTGCTTAGAGGGAGCAATGACAATATGAGACTCTGCTATTCTGGACAAAGACTGAATATATACAATTGCGCAACCGCCACAAATTAGTCCTGTTACCATCAACAAATGGGCATTGCCGCATAGGGATGGAAGTTTTAACTTACAGGATCCCGGAATATAGCCATCTTTGGACCATTACTCTTTTTCACCTGCGTCGTCAACGTTTCCCCAGCCCAAGGCTTAGCTTCTATCATATTTTCTTTCTTGCGGTCTGCCAATGATCCTATTGTATCCCAACCCTTGGAGCCCTCGCCCATCGTCGACATGGCGCTGGGCTCAGCACCAGCATCTGAGAATACTGCAAGCTTAGCCTTTGCAGGTTTTGAAGATTGCCCGCCGACACCCATGTTTGGTCTCGGAGCTTGGGGATCGGCTGGCCGCGCGGGAGCAGCGAAGGGGTCGATCTTGGCTACTAGCGCAGGTCGGACTGTAGGTATTGCTGGCGATGACGGGGCGTCCCCTGCGTCGGGTTGTTGTGCTCGTCTCTGTTCGAATTCGCCGAATTTGCGAACTAATCTCTGTACTGGTCTTGCTTCTCGTTCAATTCCCAACTTGTATACCTCCTCGGCTTGCGTCCAGCGACCTGCGCCCTCCAGCCAGGCGGCGTACTCTTCGTAAAACAGGGCTAGTCCTTCGCCAATATTGTGGCGTGACAGGAAGACAAACGTCTCCCTGGGCGAATCGGAGAAGAATCTGATATAGTGAAGCCACAGTTTTAGATATCTCGGGTCATTCTTGTATTGTGCTGATCCTATAAAGGTCTTGGTGGCGCGTTCTAGTAGAGTATGTAGTTGTGACTGGGGTGTTGCTTGCGCTGTTGGGTATGCGTCGAAGGTCCAACGGACATATCGATCAAAGACATCGAGAGGATCGTCCGACTCGGAAATGTTTGCAACCTCGGCCTCGTACTCGGCTCTGATGCAATCATTTATGTTTTTGGTATCTGTCGGCGTGGGTGTTGAAAGTTTGTGTAAAGGCTGTAAAGGAGAGGGTGAGAAGGCTTCGACAAGCTTCTTCGCCGATCGTCCCCCGGGCAAGGATTGGATGTTTTCCTTTTGCCCTTCGATTATATCGAAATCGATGAGATCGCCGGCAGCCATTTTGATATTGGTATTAGAAATGGCGATAATGGCGAGCCTCAGTGTAAATTGAAAGAACCTGTGTCGTTAGTATTAGGTACTCGATGTGATGTTTTACGAAATGGAGAGGACCAACCCGCGAAGATGATGGTGTGGTGCAACAATCGGTCTAAATAAATAAATCAATGCAGAGATTATTCCTTATCGCTTGTTGACTGTTTTGATTGCTAGCCGAATTGCCATTTGTTGCCCTGACAACGATAAAATATGGGGCTTAAACTGCGGTAATTGAATTAAGCAGAACTTACAGTTTAAAGATCCACTATAATTGAGTACCTCAGGTACCTATAGTATTATACCAGGTAGGTAAGTACCATAACGTTAGGTACCTGGTATCCAAGTCTTGACAGAATTCTAATGCGTCAGCTGGAAGTATAATTTAGGTACCTTTTATATAGTACAATTTATAATTTTGGCTGTAGCAAGTCTTCTTCTCAACTTTGATCTCTTCCAACCCAACCTCCTCCGGTAATAAAGGTCTTCAAGCCACCATAGGCCAGAACGATTCTTCCAGCACCAAGACTTTCTTGAATATCGCCATGGAGCTAGCCGCAGCGACTTCTTCCGTGTCCTCGTCCTGGCTAGCGGCGTAAGCATCCAGGCACTCCTGGCACTCCTTGACGAAAGCCTGGAACTCCTCCGAGGTCCAGTTGGGAATAAACTCCTTTCTCAAGGCTCCGCCGTCGAGATCCCCTTTTGTATTTGCATTCTCGGAGGCCTGCTGCTTCGCATACGTCCACGCGTCCAAATAAGCCTTCTCCGTAGTCCAGAGCACCACCAACCCATCCAGAAGAGTTCTGGATAAGTTCCCGTGAGGCTGCGCGGAGAAGGAGTCGAATAAATCGATGTAGTCTTTCGTCACCTTATTAGGCCCGAATCCAGCAGACTTCTTGGATAAGTTGTCTCCTTCAGCCACGGGCCCGAGAGCTTCGAGGTCCAGCTCATATTTCTTAGCGGTCTCTTGGAAGAATTTTAATTCTCTCGTGACTCCTGCCATAGCATTCTGCAGCAATGACAGGATTCGCCATTGCAGCGTTTTTGTGATATCCTGACCATCTAACGTAGTCGGTAGCTTAACGCGGGAGATCAGCCCTCCAGCAAAGCGGATGTAGGCCTGGGCATAGAGCCGATCTTGAGATAACCACTGGCAGAGCACATCTGGAGGAAGCTGACCCTGACCAGCGAGACTAAGAAATTGGCTTTCTGTAGCTCGCTTGTAGAGGTCAGCTACTTCAGGACTCGAGAGCAAATATTCTGTTACAGACTGTTTAGCCATCATAGGTAATATATGGTAAAGCTTCAATTATGCTCCGCCAAGGATTACAGGCTTGAAATGCTAGCGAATTAAGACAACAGCGCCCGGGTCAAGGTGGGTACTTTTATACAATGTTCTGCGTACAACTGTTTAGAAGCTGCTCAGAAGCTTGCTCACTGAGGACAAGAATGCCGGCGATATATTGGTTCAAACAGCGGTTCGAAAGTAAAGGGTTACGTAAATATATAGTCATTGTGATACAGTCATTGTACGCCAACGTTCCATTGATTTATTGGTTTCTATCTAAGGTACGTACCTATAGATGAGGGCACCTCTATTCAGATCCTCAGCGATTTATCGATAGTCATCGAAACCAGTAGAGGTGGAAAAATGACTCGCCCAAAATATGAATCCAGTTTTAATATGAACTTATGACAGTGCTAAACAAGATATGTACCTAGGTAAGTAAATAGCGTCTTGGTCTACGAGTTCACCCTAATTAATACACGGCTTAAAACGATTATTATTGTTATCGTCCTAATGAATGATGAACACGTGTATCGGTCTTAAGTCCGATAGTGCTGTAAATTCACCTTATTAGTGCGCTATTCCCTTCGCACACGTTTCTTGTTATACATATTGCAACCTATGAACTGCTGAGATACCTCAAACTCGACCTACCCGTAGATCGTAGGTCTCGGTATTAAGTTGCTACACTCGAGAGAAAAAAGGTACCGTAATCTCCTTTTCCGCCAGGTATTACCACGCTCCTACTTCAAAGTTTTCCTACGTATCATATGTTAGGACTAGCAAATTATCTTTAAAAATTTTAAAAATTAAAAATATAAAAAAAAAAATATATATATATATATATATAAAAAAAGGGGGGGGGGGGGGGGGGGGGGGGGTTAACACCGGGAAAAATTTTTTTAGCAACGGAAGAAAAGGAAATATCAGGCCCCCCAGGGCTCGCACAGGGGTATTTTCTGAATGAGTAGTAAAAA